CAGTCAGATAAAGATCAGGTTTGGTAGGTTTAGATCATTTTTAAAACTAAATTACAACCAGTATTTGTAATAAAAGTTGTGTTTGTTTATTTATTTATTTATTTGATATATATATTGAACTTTCTTGCTTTATGGTCGATAGATTTTCCACTCTTAAACATAAGGTTCTGAGTTACCCTAATTGCACCGATTAAACAAGACATAAATGGTAAGGTTTATGGTTGTTATTTTATTTGCTCCTTATGGTCACACCATTAGTTGTGATTGTCATAATGCACTGTTCATTGTTGGTCCAGCAAGAAGCGCAACTAGTGCCACTGTTAAACTGACAAAAACCCATTTGATAGATGGAAACAATCAAGAGTGCAATACAGTCTGTATTCCTGTTGTAATCCTGTAGGTTTCAACCCTAAAGGCCACTCAAGAATGTATGAGCCGTAGCATTCTGGGAGGTTTAAAGTGCTTTGTGAACTATATCATCAGACTCAGCAAGGAGCTAACAGCGCCTACTTACTTGCATAAAGCCTCCACAGTGACGCACAAGCTGTGTGCTCCCCAGGACAGGACTGTTGTAACAGCATGTTAAAGAGACAGCAGTGGGTGGGCAAACATAAAAATGTGGACAAGATAACCTAACACAAGTTATGGAGAGCTGTATGGGGGAGTCTTCATGTTAAACTTGTTGAGAAACAGCCTCAAATGATTTGTTCTGCCTCAGCTCCCCTCTCCCTTTCTGCTGGTAGCAATCTTCGTCCCACATACGTATAAAACCTTAACTGCTCAGCTACAGTTATTTTACACCCCGTTACTAAGATGGCGAAGATGCTGTACTGTAACATGCTTATGATAATGTGCTCAGCAGTTTGATGTCTCACAAGAAAGGAGGCTAACACGGCCAACATCAAAGGCAGTTAATGTTAAAAAAAAGTGTAGAGTAATATAAAGTACAGTCAGGTAGCCGAAACCATGATAGTCACATACACTAAAAAAAAGTCATAGCACTAAAAAAATTACAAAATGTAATAGTAAAGAAAAAAAGAGAACACCTAAAATAGAGCTTTATAGTAAAAACAGATTCATAACAATGCTGAAGTTCGAATGATCAGAAGTATCATGTTGTGATTGCCCTGTAGCTTGTTTCACTATAGAGAACCACATTTACAGGTAAATGAGTAAAGCCTGGTTTCCAGATTATTATCTGGCACTGCACTGTAATACGTTGTCTTTATGAATGAGTAAATATTGTTTGAAATATCAATGTGTATTTGTAGCACTAGCTGAAATGTGACTGTCTCACAGTGTTTCTGACAGTATTTCTACTTGGCTATTAGCTAGCCTGTGCAGCAGTCACACTACCACTACCTGACATGATAAAGATAGAGTGAATGGGAGGTGACAAGTTGAGACAACCAGTTGTATTTGTGCCCTAGCTACCCGCTGGCGCCAATCAGAAGTGAGTCATGCAGAAACTTTTTATTTTTGTAGGTGGGGTGGTTGTCAGATTTTGTTGAACTGGGGATAGCAGATGTGTTTTGAAGGATGAGAACTGCAGTTCAGGCCATAAATATCATTGGCCTAGACGGGCTAGGTGGACTTGTTTCCACTTGAGAAACAAACTGGACTGGTTATATTTGTCTAATGTTAGTATTTGCACTAAGAAATGGAACAAATACTTATGCCAATGTATATAAAAATATAAAGGGATAGACATTCATGAAGTGCCTTGAGCAGCTGGTCAGAAAACACATCTGCTGCTCCCCAACATCCTGGACCCTCTTCAATTTGCCCACAGAAGGAGCAGAGCCATGGACGACACAGTCGCCTTGGCAACACACACTGCCCTCACCCATCTGGAAAACGGGAACACCCTTCCTCCTCGCTCACTGAAAACACAGTGAGCGATTTCTTACTGTACTCTTGTGCTCCTTTTTCACTTCCAGGAACATTATCATTAAGTTTGCAGGCAATAGGACTGTTGTAGGCCTTATTGCAGACAATGATGAGACAGCCGACAGAGCTAAACAGGCCAACAACCTTTCTCTCACATCAGCAGAACAATGGAGGTGATAGTGAACTATCATCCAGAGGAGAACACTGGCTCATCCATATTAGCTATGCTAACATTGAAATGGTAGGCACTTTCAACTTACTCAGTGTGAACATTACTGAGAATCTATCCTGGACCCTTCACATGGACATCATGGACAGAAAGGCCCGTCAGTGCTCATACTTTCTGAGGACACTTAGTTTTATAAGACACTATCTCCTGAAGCTTCCACATAAGCATGATCAACAGCTTGGTGACAGGCTGTATGACAGTTTTGGAATGGAAGTTGCTTGCTAAAAGCTGGAAATCACGACAGAGATTGGGGCAGCCATCAGAGATCGTCACTGCCAAGAGCTATCCCGCCATTAAAAAGATCTGCCTGATGTCTGTGTAAGGCCGACAGAATTATCAAGGATCATAGCCATCCAGAAAACCAGCTGTTCTCCTTGTTACCCCCAGGCTGGAGTATGGCTACACCAAACACTAGATTAAAGAACAGTTTTTATTATCAAGCCATGAGACTCCTCAACTGCAACCTTGGTCATGCATTGGTGCATTACTGCAGTACAATATGTTACAGTAGAATTTAATCGGCCACTGGTACTGCTGTTTATAACTCTCAGTTTACCCATGTGCAATAATTCTCCATACTCTAATCTAATTCTTTCAACAACCTCAGCAGCCATGTTGCATCTGTAAGTCTTCTCCTAGCAAAGGTTGCTGGTTCCTGCTGTATCTTTTACAATAATCTGAAGTACAACTCAAGGATGGCGTTTTAGAGCTGCAGAAATGAATAAACCTAATTTATTAAAAGCAAACAGGTAACTCACATTGATGAATCTACAGATAATGACTTGATTCTTCAGTTCATGTTTGATTTACTTTTAAATTCATTGGGGATTTAAAGCCACAACTTTTAGTTTTAGTTCCCATTCTCTTTAATTGAATTTTCAGATACAGCAGGCAGCAGTCGTCATTTACTCCTTATGTAGATTTCTCATAATAAATGTAATCACATTCCCTCACTAATGATTCAGCAGCAGAAGTGATTTGTTACATTACATGTTTGACTCAGAACAACTTCATCAAAGGTGCCCTTAAACAACTTCAAAGACTTCACACCCACTTGCCTCATCTTCTGTATTTAACACTTGAAGGAAAAGAAAACAAGGTATTTTGGTTTTAATAAGCAGTCTGTACAGTCTGGATTCCGAATGTTTACTAAACACAAATTCCTTAGATCCAGTGACTGCACAAAGCAATTAAGAAGTCCCATCCTTAGTGTGAAGACGTGCATTCACACACCGACCCACTCAAAACTCACATGACTCCATAAGCTCTTACCAGCAAAGCCTTTATTATGTTACTGACATGGACACGGACAGCTGGAGACACAGCGGCCAAGTAGTCATTCCTGTTATACTTCTTTGAAGTCCACTTGAAGTCCGCCACCTGGGGTGCGTGCGTAGTTGGTGCATTGAAATGTAAATTCTTCGCAGATGAGCGTGTGTGGTCACAAAAATATTGCTAGGCACCTGGATGTCAGCATAGACCCCTGTGCTCAGTGTTTGATGATGAAATTAACGTCACTCGCACCTCAGCGGACTCACATAATCAATGCATAAGAAATGAGAAAACTTAGTAGTTGCTGTTCTTACCTCATTTACATGAACTACAGAGACCACTGAAGTAAACCTTTTACTAACGTAGTGTACAAATTAACGCGGTATCAGTAATCAAACTGTATGTAGCTTATCACATTGTCGATGCAAGATCATAGTAAGTATGATTGTAGGTAATACATGCAGCCACAAGCCAAATGGAAAAACTAATGAGCATTTAGGAGCTAAAGTGCCTGAGTTTCCCTTAATGATGCAGTACAGACCAAAATAGGACAAAAAGAATTGGGCTTTTAGTGGTCAGAGGGCTGGAAACAGCTGCTGGGAATGATTGCTGTTGGGTTCCTATATGCTTTTTCTTTTTCCAATTCTGGATAATAGGAGGGCCGGATACAAGCTATCATATGGTGAGAGGTTGCTAGTCTAAGCCGAAGATTAAAACCAAAAGAAATTCATTCTCAGATTCACGCCTGCGTTTATTTGGATGTTTGCACCTCCGGAACAACTGCAGCATCCACACAGAAGGGTGGTGGATTTGTACCCACGTGCTGCTCAAAGAAGAAGAGCTAAGCCACGGCCAAGGAATGGATTAATATGTGCTAAATCAACAATAATTATGAACTCATTACTTTAAAAATTCTAAATATATATGGAAATGAGAGCAGTCACAGTAGTGGTAGGTTTTTTAACCCTGCGAAGCCTTGATTTGTGGCTAGTAACTGTATAAGTTACAGCCAAACAAATGAAGGCTCTGCACATTAAAGTCCTTAACCACCGAGCCCAAGTTCATCACATGTTAGGTTTTAAAAGCAACTGGTGAAAAAAGTTAAATACTAATGAGACTTCTTATTAAAAAGAAAGGGTAATCATATGGTTATTTCTAGCTCAACTGGGAGCTTGGTTCATAATAAAATGGGCAATTTCACCTAAGTCCCCCCTCAGGGTAACTTGTAAACTAAAGAGGGATTTGATGTGAGGGGTATGAGAGCTGTGATGGTGTGTTATCAGCTGAGTAATTTGCTCTTGTATAAACATGAATTACTGTTATCTAAGTGCCCCCTGACAGCCGATTGGCTCCTCATTAGGCCTGTGTGAAATGAGATTAGCAACGAGACTCTAAATTATGATCCAATCCCAGAACACATAATCTCTCACATGCATATACCCTTTGTGAGTCTCTCCACTCCATCTATTTCTGCCATCCTTTTTTTTTTAACTTCATTGCTTTCTGTATCTTCCCCTGCGGCTGCTCGTTCCTCGTCTTAGCATCTCTCCTCTCTTGACCTCTTACCTCTTCTCTCTTTTTTTTTCTGCCCCACCGACCTCACTCTCAGAGTGTAACTGCAGTGGGAGATCAGACCAATGTGTGTTTGACATGGAACAGTACCGGAGCACTGGCAGTGGGGGGCGATGTGTGAGCTGCAGAGACAACACTGATGGGCCCCACTGTGAGCGCTGCAGAGATGGCTACTACCGGAAATCTACAGAAGATCCCTGCCTACCCTGCAACTGCAATGTCAAAGGTAAACTGCAGACACAAAAATCTCAATTGTTTTGATAATAACTGAAGCCCTAATTATGATCCATGCCAATGTCATTACTTGCTACTTTTGTTTTATCCTGCATGAGAAAATGTAATTATGTTAAAATTGGAATGCCCTACTGGCACAAAAAAGCACCATATGCAAGCTTTAGCTACAAATGAATTGGACTCATAGGATTAATTTTACAAATTTTATGGCCAATGTTTTTAAAAAATTAATGGCACTGCATTAATATTTTCTACGTCCCATCAGCTCACCAAACTTGCCTAGGAGTAGAATCTTTTTCAATGTATAATTCATTCAATCTCATCTTAGTTATCATTGCCTTAGCTTCCACGATGATCATTAAGGAAATCCATGGATTTACTCACCCATGCGGGTGTAAATTGATCCAGTTGACTCACTGAACATTATCAATAAAAAGACTCATTGCTCATTAAGCAAGGCCTAACTTTAGGTGGAGGAGCATTAATGGTGGTGGTCACCCATCATCAGAGAATGAGAGAGAAAAGTGAACCAAAAACATTAACTATCTTTTCCTCTTCATATAAATAGTGTGCGGTGAAGGCACAGAGCTGTTGGAGTCCATTATATTGATCAAAGGTTATAGCAGACTCCATCAGGCTTCCCTTTTTCTCTTCTTTCTGCCCCAGATGGCCTTTTTTCTCCATTAACTAAAGCTTCACTATATCGGCTACAGTGTAGAAGCAAGGTTATATACTCCTCTTCCAGGAACAGAAATTCAAAACAAATGTTCATTATAGATAGATAGATAGATATTTATAGAAAATGCTCATCATTCTTGTCCTACACTATGATTACATTTTTCTTTATTTGAACCCTGCCAGGATCTGTGAGTCTACAATGTGATGTAGAAGGAAGGTGTGCTTGTCGGGAAGGTGTGACAGGAGAGAAGTGTAACACATGCCAGGCTGGCTTTCACTCGATAGGCCCCGGTGGCTGCAGGTGAGCAACATACATATAGTAATATATACAGCATACATGCATTCATTTTATGCTAGTGAACACAAGGCTCACTGACATTACATTTCATACAGCTTTCCTGTTTTATAGATGTGACACCTAACTTCCCAAAGCCTGAATTTATCAAACTGCAAAGCAGGACAAAAGGATTCAAATTTCTCGACGTGACACTACTGTGAATTAGTGACCTTATCAGCAAGTACCAGGATGTGCCAAACACAATGTCAAACTGCTAACAAGCATTGTAACAAGCAAGCCACCAAGTGCAGTGTTATTTTCCACATGGATAAAATTCATTTCAGTTTTATTAAGCTTTTTATTTCAGGGTGTCACGTATATTCATCATGCACAATATTAGTTACGCCAATGTGATTTTTTTGCTTTATATATGTTTGGAGTCCACTGAATTACTTCATGGTTATCCCCTTTTATGGAAGTGTGCAGAAGTTGTCTGACTTCTATCAAGAAAACCTTTTTGTCTGCATTACACAAATGCATCGTTTCTTGTCTAGCTATATTTTAAAGTTTTTGTTTTCAAAGTATCTTTTATTATTTTTGTTCAGTTTCACTCTTCCCATTAGTGCCCTATTCAGCCACCACAAGCAGTTATATCCAGCACAGAAGCTCAGATAAATCCATGGCACACAACCTACTAAATACCAAACAGTGAACAAATCAACATGTTCTAAACCCCAACTCATCACATAGTGGCACAAGTCAGAAAATCTTTTTCACGTTTATCAGAAGACAGCAAGCATCAGTGTATTTTGTAAGAAGCTGAGATATATAATGTGGTGCCTGGCCATTTAGTGCCCTGTATGTAAATCCTAAAATCTACTGAAAGCCAGTGTAAAGACTATCTTAGCATGCTTGCTAGAATGTGTTAATAGTCTGGCTGCAGAATTTTGTACTGTATAGCTTGGAAGCACAAAAGACATGGTTTGTCCAAGCTGGTCAACACACATGATAAATGCAATGACACAAATGCTTGAAAGAAATTTTTTATAGTTCAGTTGAGTAGACCCTATGTCGCAAATTAGAAATGTTACTTAAATGAAAGAATCAGGAAAGAAGCAAAGATTTTATATGCAAGTCAAAGAATCAAATATTACACCATGATTTCAAATGCTGGACTTGACCAAAGAGAAGTAAGAGCCTGACTGATTTTAGGAAATAGTTCAGGAGGAGCTATAATCATCTATCAGTCTTGTTGATATTTAAAGTAAGTTCATTATCAGAGAGCCAATCACTAACCTGGATTAAACACTGGACTAGAGTGGACAGCCTATTCAGATGATGAGGCTTAAAAGATATATACAGCTGAATGTCATTGGCATAGAAACAATAAGAAACTTCATTAAAGTTTAGGTATTAAATTACTTTAATTTTATTTATTTTAGATACCAAATATATTAGCACCACAACTAAAAAATGCTAAAGGGATGTTTTCACAATATAAAGACAACAAGTCCAAGCATCACTCTGTGGCGAATAAGGAGTTAGACTCAGTTGGACACACAGTTAGTGAGTAGGTGGTGGACACAACTGCATTTAGGAAACAGATTTTCTTTTAGAACTGATGGAGAACAAAGAACTCACTGAAGAAATTTGTAAGATTTTTAGTTAAATGAAACAAAACATTTTTCCATGTTTAGTATACAGTAAATATAACTAGTAGAAACACAAAGTCCTAAGTCATTCCGCTCAGTTTGCTAAGTGACTTAGAATGCCAAATCTACTGTTTATGCTCACCCTTTCTTAACCTCCTAAGACCCAAACTCTTCCACAGCATGCATTTTTAATTTCTCTTTGATATTTGGGCTGATTGGGACCAGATGAATGTAAAAACAAAGAATTACCAGATCTTTTTTTTTTACCTAATTTTTGTTTCAAAGAAAAATGAGAGCCACATATGAGGATATTCGTTTAAAATTTCGATAGAACAGTAGCAGTATAATGTCCTCGTAAGTAGATATCAGGCCCTTGAAGATCAAAATTAAGTATTTTTGTCTAAATAACCCAAAATGTGATGTCCACATATGTGGACGCCAGGTCCTAGGAGGTTAAAATAAGTTTGAATCAATTCCTTATTTTATCTGCTTAGAACATGAAAATACATTACAGCTGAAATTTTTGTTTTAACTCCATTTTCTCATACTCAACTTTAAATAATACATTTCCAAAGAAATTTTACCAGTATCATCAACTTTAAAAGGGAAAAGAAAAAGGCTGACCTAATGTCTTGCCAATTCATTGCAAACTTTTTGCATGAATTCCCTCCTACCGCATATGGTCGTTGTTCAGATTGGTGAGCCAGCAGTCCTGAATAGCAGAAAGAAAGATCTGGTGTTTGAAGTCCCCTTAGAACCGAGCAAGAGATCATGCAGTCTTCTTCATGTTGCCATGGTGACTAAATCCAGCCTTGCTGCCTTCAAAATCTTCAGAGAACAGCTTGAGCTGCAGCTAAAGCCAAGGAGAAACTTAGCCTGTAAAACTTTCTACTTTTCTCCAAAGGTAGTTGAGTGTCTTTATATGTAGTTGGTAGATTTGATCTGGTTTTATCCAAATTCATCAATTTATGATTGACTTAAACATTTCTTCTTTTTTTTTAACTGCCAGCAACTAGTTGACAATGAAGAGTTGTTCATGATAAATAAATAATTTAATAATTACACTTTTACTCTTTATTGATCATGATTTTTTTTAGCTTTATTGTGTTAACTGTATGCATTACTAATGCGTTAAGTAAAATATTATTCTAATGTGTTTTACTAAGCTCTGACTTTAAGTTTCAGTATACTAGATGAATGAGCTCATTGGGTCAGACCGAGTTTAAGATACAGACTTGCTTTCAACCTGTTTTACCTGGGAGTGGGTTCAGTCAGACTTTTTTCCCAACCTTTATTGGAACGTGAAGATGCACTGACCAACTGCATACATTTTTATGATGAAAAGCGCATTTCAACTTTGTCTGAACTGAGAGCCTCATACTAAGTATGAGTGCACATGAGCCTGCATGTAAATTTATAGGAAGGTGTATCTATGTGTGTGTGTGCACATCTGTGTGTTTGTGTGTGTAGGTGCGTCTGTGTGTGTGTGTGTTGTATGTTGTAAAATTCATATTCATAAGAAGTCTATCCGAGCTCTCCCTGACCCGCTTCTATCTGCCGGGGGAATGCTAAGTTGCGATAGTGTTGAAAGGCATATCAATGAATGTTTGGTGTTAATATTATTTCTTCTACCTGGATACTATGACAACAGGCTGTGGGATGACTGTTAAGCAAAAGAACAGATATTGAGCTTTAGTCTCATTCATTTGACTTTATAGCTTCTACAGTAAGCATTTCTTTATGAAAAATTAAGCTATGCCTCAAAATGACAAATTTAAACAGAATAGCTTCCCCAGTTCTACAGAACTTTTTAACACCATTCAGCTATTTGTTTTGGTTATCTGTAACCGATAAAGCTAATGCAAACAAGAACTGATAAAGCCACTGTAAAACAAAAAGCAGTGCAAATATCAGCTAAATTAAAGGGAAATTTAAAGGAATAGATATTTTCCTCAAGAGCTGGTGGAGACCAAACTAGAGCGTAAAGCAAATGAGCCAGATAGCCATTTGTGTATGTTGTATCTCAGTTAACAAAAAGTCTGTAAATGCAGGTTTAAAAGTAGGCTTGATCAAGAGAATATTAAACCTCCCTTTCTAAAGATTACATACCAAAACGGTACATTAATATCTGCAATTGTTTCCCATAGATGATATTGACATGCACAAACACAAACACACACACTCACACAAACAAACACACAGCACTTTCTCTCATTCGTGCTGAAAACTCAGGCTATTGAGTTGATGCGTAAATTACCCAGACCACTAGAGCAGAAACAACTAGAGGCTGCTTGCCTTGGGATAATTGAGTTATTGTAATTGCACCTCATTAAAAATAGATCCTGGGTTTCAATCTCAAACAAAAAGTAACCAGTCAATAAATGTGATCAAACAAAATTTGACAAAAATCCAACACGCTGCTGATCCATACACGTACACTTACGTGCTTTTTAATTGAGGTCGTTTTACACAGCCTTCAAATTTCAGATTTGGGTGTTGATGATTTGCTATGAAGAACATTTTGTACTTTTGAAAATGACTTTGTGGTGATGGCAGCAACACTGTGAATCAGTAATTAGGAAGGCCCAGGTTCAAGTTTTAAGATAAGAACCCATGTTGTTAAAATCTACTTGAGCGTGACACCCTGTGGTTTTTCAGAGCTGAACATCTGCTGTCTTGAAAGTGAGGAAACAGACATCAGGGATGTCTTGACATCAAATTGTCCTCATCTCAGAGTTTCCTGCCCATTTTCTTTTTCTGCTTCTCTTTTATACATGCGTGCTAAATGCAGTAGATTAAACTATTTCCTATTTTTCTGCAGGCCATGTGAATGTGACCTCAGTGGCAGTGTGGGTGACTGCTCCCCTCTGGATGGACGCTGTTACTGTAAGCAAAATGTGGAGGGACAGAACTGCAACAGGTTGGTTATCATGCTGTTGTTTGTTTCCCAGATAAAGAACAAACAAGCCAACTGTAAAGGTCTTTTACAAAAAAACCTCCAAACATTATGTAATATACCTATGTTTGGTCTCTTTTTAGCATCGCTTTTGAAAATAAATCATTTTCATTATCGCTCCTAAGGGGAAAATAACTTTGCAAATTTCATTCCCAGTCGGCTGGTGCAGCAGAAACGGAGGGCTTAAGAACAATTTGATTCAGACTTGCTTGAACATTTTTAAGCTATCTGTCATTTTAACAACTAAAGCAGTGCAAGCGACCGTTAAACTATGTCAATAGTCTCTGCTTCTCCCTTTCTGCTTCTATCTTGCTCCTGTGGGATAGAGGATCAAACAGATAACCTCACTATGACATTAGCAATACACACAGCCCCAGGTCTCCAACTATTGAATAATTCTGTACTCCCTGTTTGTTGACTTTTTGGCTGATTTCACGGGTGGTTGAGCAAGCTCCTCTCCTGTGTAATGTGACTAGTGTAGTGGCTGATTTTTAGCGGTGTTCCTGTCCCACCCACATGGCAGCAAGTGCCTGCAGGTCAGGGTGCTAGCAGCTGAGCTCCATTTTTCTTCTTAAAACGCCGCAATGTGTGCGGCGACTTGCGCCCAAACTGCTGAACTGAAAAAAAGCTTAAATAGATAGTGAATATAACGGTGCAGCATGGATGTGGTAAATAGCTGTAATCAGGCGGGAGTAAAGCTTCTGCATGTTAATGACTTTTTTTATGCACAAGGATGTGTGTGTGTGCGTTTGTGTACCTGCAGATGCAAGCCAGGATTTTTCAATCTCCAGCAAGTAAACCCAGCAGGCTGCCAACCGTGCTTCTGCTTTGGCCACTCGCTGGCCTGCTCCTCGTCCAATCACTATGCTGCTGTCAACATCACTTCTGACTTCGTTGAAGGTATTGTCTTCCCAGCCATTAATGAGGTTTCCCTTGTTGCCTTGGGAGCTTTATTACTGAGCCAAAATTAACGAGACCAGCGATGTTTACTTTGTTCTCTCTGACCCTCTGTCCTCACTCCATTTTCAGCATTTGGCTCTGTGCTGAGAGCTCAGGAACAAAGCTGTTTTTTTTCTCCTCTTTTATTTTTTAGATAACAAAAAATGAAAGAAAGACAGAAAACATACATAAACATACATTGCAACCTACACAAAGCTGTTTGGACAGATAACCCCTGTAAGAAAATAAACATACAAACTCTTTGTGAACATGAATATTTAGCAGATGCGATGTCTTTCACCTCCAGATCAAGAAGGCTGGTTGGGAGAGTTTTCTGGAGGGCTGGACTACCCCCTGCTGTGGAAGGAAGGTGAAGTCTACCTGCTGCCTCTTACAGAAGAGGACACTGGCTTCTACAAAGCCCCCGGTGAGTCGGCAAGAAAAATAATAGAGATTTGAATGAATCCACAAGGTCAGATTGTTACCGCAGTCTCAACAGGTGGGCTGCATCCCCCAGGGAGATATTTAAGCTTTGCTGAAATAGATTTTATTCGTTATTAGTGATAAAACAGCCCCAGCTGTTGTTCTTCAAAACAAATATGTAAATGATATTAGTAAAGCATCTGTAATATCCATAGCTTGTTCCTATTGTTCGTTAGTGAGATTAATCAGGATTTTTTTGGCAGCGGGTCACGCGGTGGTTATTCTGTCACCGCTTTTTCCAATCCCTTATCAGAGCCATTAGAAGATAAGGGAATAAGCTGGCCCTGCCACAGGACTTAGGGCCCATTTCTATCAGCCGCGCCAGGAGCAAAGGCCTGATGGAATTGGATGTCTTGGCCATGCTGGAGAAGCAACAAAGTGAAAATTGGCTTGGTTTCTTCTTGTCTCCACTAAGTCGCTTCTAAGCATCAACTCACCCCCCCATCCCCACCAGCCTCTAGCCACTGTGCCGTCCGCAGCCCGAGGCAAAACAGGAGCAATCCCATTAACTCTGCATCCTGGAGGTTTAATGCCCAAAACGGGCGATCACAGGGAACGACTCCATTTGGAGGCGTCTTTTTTTAGGAAGATGAAAAACTCACAGCTGAAAGAGGATGTGACAAGGCCTAGTGGTCGGGCATAATTTATATAATGTCATTATAAATGCATTAGTAAGTTATGGATGCTCAAATGTGCGCGCGTGTGGTGACATGTCCTGACACATGCATTATGATTGCTTATATGCCCAAGCATATGCATATATATATGTGTGTGTGTGTGTGTAATTAGAAATTAACATAGTTAATAATGTTTTGAAAAGTTCATTTCTTGTTCACACACTCTATATTGACGCCTCTGTAGTCCACAGCACTCAGATTAGTGGCCCCGACTGGCCAACAGCAGCTTTGTGACAGCCTGCTTATCTACTTTGTGCAGTACTTGTTTATGTTGTCTCTCCACATAATAAATGCACACATCTATTGCTTTACCATCCCCATTAATGATCTAATTTCTCCCCTCTTTTTTTCATATTTGTGCATGTGTACAGTTTTTTTTTTTTTTTTTTAAGATTAGACCAGAGCAGCAGCTTCGGAAGCAGCTTTTTTTTTCTCACACACTGAGGAATTTTCTCTCACACTGTTTCTCCTCTTCTTTTATTTTTTTTAATTTGTATTTTGTGCTGAAATCCCTCTCCAGTGTTCGTCACCAAAGAAAGAGATAATTCTGAGTGACAACTCCTCCTCGAACATCATGCAAAACACAATTTCTGTGATTGCCGCAAATGTATTTGTCACCGTAGTTTGCTTTCGCCTTGAGCTGTCACTTGAGGGACGGGATTCAATCATCTGTTATTTTATTGAACTGGTAATGCAAGGGAGTGGCACGTTTTGGGGGATCTTCATGGCTCATTCTGCTCCAGAAATATCAGCCATAGCTAGGAGAAGGACAAGGCGTCACAGATATTTCCTTAATAGTGTTTAACAAGGAGTTGCTGGCCAGGCAGGCAGCCTTTTTAGACACTATGTGAAACGAAAAAGAAACTCGAGTTTCCTGAATTCCCCATGACAATCAAACAATCACTTACACCAGCCGGGCTGTCAGAATTGTTCCTTCTTCTGTCAGAATTGTTCCTTCTTCTGCGCTGTGTGAAGATCTATTTTTTTTTTCTTTTTCATTTTTGCTCACATCTCAAATTGTCCTCCCTTCTATTTTCCTTTCAGCGCTAGTCTGTCAAGTAGTAAATTAATATACGTGGGCATTTACGAACGAGTATTTGTGTATGCACTTGAGGACGCTGTTTCTCTGAAGCATTGCCACTTCCCCTCCTTCCGATCCTGGACATCTGCTTGACAGTTGACACAGGCTGAGTTCAAGTCCCCGCGGTGACTCAACAGACGGAACGCTCGAGTGTGGCTGCCAGGAACTATCACAGACAAACATGAAGTACCACCCTAAACAGTTGCTTTGACCTGCCTCCAGCAACTGTGGTCACCACTTGAATCTGCTGGACAGTAACGGCGGTTCTCTTGGCTGAGCACTGTTTCATGCTGAAGGGGACATCATCTAACATAAGTCCTTGCAGCCATGAGTTGGAGAAGCTTGCAGTGTGGATTTGAGTATATGCACCACATGCCAACCTGCTAAGCCTTAAGCAGGGGAGAAAGGGGGGGGGGGGGGGTGAATTTTAATGCAATAATGTCTAGCAGAAGGGAGGCGAGCAGCATATAGTTGAGGAGTGAAAGGGAGAGAAAGAAGATCCGTGATATCAGCCCCAGGCTACCTGTCAGTCTGACTGAAGCTGCATGTGGCAGCTAAGGGCCTCACACAGCCTGAGCACTACCTGCAACTAAGTCTGCATGTAATTCAGTCTAGTGGCCTCATCATCTGGAAGGGTATACAAAAACAGAAGGGAGATGCAGCAAATGTAAATCGGGCAGTGCAGTGGAAACATGGAAGAGGGAGGAATGAGAATAAAAATAAAACTGAGGTGAAGAGAAACAGAGCAGAAGCAAAAGTCAGCCAATTTAGACTGGGTGATTGAGTGAGACAGTTCAATATGCTTGAAATAAACTGATAACGTCTAAAGACATCCTGACAGGCAATATTTCAGGCTCTGCAAAAAAATCTGTGCCCTCTTGGAGTTCCTTTAGCCTTGACCACAGGCAGTAAATAAAAGACGGTTGTAAGCATTGAGCAATCACCTGGTGGTTTAATGTTTTTTGTTGTTTTCTGGGGGGTTTTAGGTGTGTGTGTGTGTGTGGGGGGGGGGGGGGGGGTTGTTTAGTTTTAATCTAGCAGATATGACCACTGCTGAGCTTTGCTAGTGCTGGTAGGTACTTTTGTTAGTAGGGCACATTCTTAATTCACTGATAATAAATCCCATGCTAATTGTGGCGTGAAGAAATCAGAACTGCTTATAAAAAGTACTTGCTGGGAAAACTAACCAGCCAGCTCCTTACACAAAATGACAGCCATCTGTCACTCAGACTGGTTACCTTTCCTAACTTTATGCCTTAAATGGACAATTTCTTTAGAAAGTCACTTCCCCGTGCAGTCATGAAGGAGGGAAAGAGCTATAAAGACCCAAGCTGTTTTTTATACCAGGCTGTAAACGTGTTTATTTCTGCTGTATTTCTGCCAGGAATTGAATCACTTTTGCAGCCGGCCTCAAGTGGCCATTTGAGCAACTGCAGTTTTTGGCACTTGGTGTTGGCATCACTTTAAAATTGGAGATTGATCTTGGGAAAAATATTATTACGAGTGAGTCTCTTCTTATTGGTTTTAACACACCATTGATAACTTTCCAAAGCTTTCCCCATAAACCTCATATATCATTCACTGTGGACTTCCTGGATCTTCTCACTTGCAGTGTACCTGTAATGTTCTGCCCACACAAACACATTGCCTTGCAGTTATACTTTTGGTGTAAACACTCTAATAAAAGAACAGCATGTCAGAATTCCTTTTAGAAAAGTTCTGTGTGGGTTTCACAAGAGCCCTCAGAGCTAACACAAGTAATCTGAGTAGATCACAGGTTCACGCTGCTTCAGACTCCACTGTGTCCTCTTCTCTGAAGTATATGAAGCAGCTGTAATTCTTAAAAACTGTAAAACAGAAAATAGTCTGCTCTTAGCCTTTATAGCATCTTTAAACCTCATCACTTTTACAAAGTGTATTGCATGTGTTTTGCATTTACTCACATGCACACTAATGGCAGCA